GTTCCGTGGAGGATGGTTCTTCAGAGCTGGAACTATTTGGCTCCGTTGAACTCTCAGGAGAAGGTTCCGTGGATGAGGGTTCCGTGGAGGATGGTTCTTCAGAGCTGGAACTATTTGGCTCCGTTGAACTCTCAGGAGAAGGTTCCGTGGATGAGGGTTCCGTGGAGGATGGTTCTTCAGAGCTGGAACTATTTGGCTCCGTTGAACTCTCAGGAGAAGGTTCCGTGGATGAGGGTTCCGTGGAGGATGGTTCTTCAGAGCTGGTTTTTTTTGTGTTAGGTGGACCCTCGGGAGATGGTTCCGTGGAGTACGGTTCTTTCGACCTGGCTTCATTAGGGCTCGTTGCACTCGCCGGAGATGGTCTCGTGGATGAGGGTTCCGTGGAGGATGGTTCTTCAGAGCTGGAACTATTTGGCTCCGTTGAACTCTCAGGAGAAGGTTCCGTGGATGAGGGTTCCGTGGAGGATGGTTCTTCAGAGCTGGAACTATTTGGCTCCGTTGAACTCTCAGGAGAAGGTTCCGTGGAGGATGGTTCTTCAGAACTGGAGTTACTTGGCTCCGTTGAACTTTCCGGAGAAGGTTCCGTGGAGGAAGGTTCTTCAGAGCTGGAACTGTCTGGCTCCGTTGAACTCTCAGGAGAAGGTTCCGAGGATGAGGGTTCCGTGGAGGATGGTTCTTCAGAGCTGGAATTATTTGGCTCCGTTGAACTCTCAGGAGAAGGTTCCGTGGATGAGGGTTCCGTGGAGGATGGTTCTTCAGAGCTGGAGTTATTTGGTTCCGTTGAACTCTCAGGAGAAGGTTCCGTGGATGAGGGTTCCGTGGAGGATGGTTCTTCAGAACTGGAGTTATTTGGCTCCGTTGAACTTTCCGGAGAGGGTTCCGTGGGTGAGGGTTCCGTGGAGGACGGTGGCGTGGAGGATGCCTTTGTCGTTCTCTCAGGTGGGGGTGGTACAGTTGGTATAGTAGGGAATTCCTCAGAGCAGTCGACCATACTTGGGAAATTGCAAAGACTTTTTTCGGTGTCGAAATAGAGACCTTCTGGGCAGCATCGAGTAATTGCGATCCCGTTGGCACACACGTAGAATACTCCGCATTTCTTCACGTCCCTTATGTAGGAGCCGTTGGGTAAAAAGCGGCATCTCGACTCAACTTTAGTCGATTTAGAAGCTGTCTCATCAGGGCCGGGCTTGTTCTCCTGAGTTGAAGAAATAACTTCGCGTAAGGCAGACAAACTTCCGCTGGGTAACGGGCCTTGATGCTGATCGGTGGAGATCGGGACTTGCGGCAGGGATGGCGAAGGTGAGGGAGATGGCCTTTGAGGGCTGCCCCACAGGTTACCGAAGAAATTGAATATTAGCGGCCTGTCAATGAATACGTTCTGGTGGATGGTGGTTTCCTTTTCTGCAATGGAACTGCCAGGACCTGGCTTGCCGCCATGCACGCAGCTTTGGTCGTGGACATTGAAACGCAATCCCTCTGGGCAGGTGTTTTTGATCTGTCCGAGGAAGCCCAGGCAGAGGAAATACGAGTGAGGATCTGCTGAGTCCGCTGATCTATATCCAAACGATTGTCCTGCACAAGAATCCGTGGCAAATGCCTGAGGAACGATCCAAAGACCGATCCACAGGATATTTACTGAAAGGCAACAGGCTTTAGGGTTAATATATTCCTTTTGGCAGTTTCCGATTTCGATCTTACTTACCCATTAGCATTTTTCAAAGTACATCCACGAAATGCAACGTGCCCAGGCAGAAACATTCTTTTTATATACCCACCAGCTGCAGCTTCCGCACGACATCAATTCCCTGAAAGCCATTCTCAAGTGCTGTCCGGACATGAACTAATTGTTGACACACCAAAACATAAAAGTTTGCTTAAACAAATTAAGTTTAGGTACAAGGCGTTGGAAAACCAAAAGAATGTTTCGCTGCGTATTTTACACCCGTAAGGGTCTGTGTATAGTCTGGAAAGTGGAGTCTAATGGTCTGGAGTTGATGGTATAGGAACTCTAAATCCGTAGATATTCCAAGTGTACACACAGATAAAAATTGCATAGTAATTGGAAAGAGTTAACTTTCATTCAAACATAAAAGTTATTAAATACGTCCGATATTTCCACAGTTTCAGTTATTTTTTGGCTGGAATATTTGGTTACTTTTTATTATCAAACAATTCATGTAATAGTTAAAGTTGAAACAAGCTAGAATTAAGATGACAAGAGATAAATACTGTGCATGTGGGACCCTCCAGGGGGGGGATAGAGATTTCTAATCTGCTTCAGTAATGGGGCTGTCAGCATGTCTTTATCTCCGCTCACCTTGCGATGACGCCAATGCCGATTTGGGTGGCGTACCCCTTGCCCCCTCGCCTTGCACCTCAACGCACTGGCCCGGCCCAGACGAACTGTTCCGATTAGTTGTCCAGATAAGGGGGGGGGCCATCGTCTCAGCACTTATCGTATTTCTTGCAATGATTACTCAAGCCTTGGGGCACTTGTTGTTGCTGCTGCTGCCGCCGCGGCTGGTGGGCGAGGTTCTTACTATTTTTAGTTGTGGGGAAGAGCTTTTGGTGCGGAAAGCGCCGCCCCATCCCATATGGAGGCGTTTTGGTCCGCACTCTTATCGTAACTTGTGTGGCTTCGAATGTACCTAGTTGAGGAAATTTCCAAAATGGATTTTGTTACCTCTGGTATTCGAGCCAATAAGTTCGGCCACGAAATCGCATTTTATCTTTTGCATTTTTTTATTATTATTTTTGGATTTTTGTTCTTTTTTTCATGTTTTTTTTGTTGTTGTTTTTTTTAACAATTTGCAACAATTTTTGGCCAGTGCACGGGGTCACTTGCACCCACTAAAACTTGCGTAATTGGCCGTGTCTGTCCCCGTATCAGTGAAATTTTATAGCCCCTTTGGGTGGTCTTTGTTTAGCGCGAAGAAACCAACAAAAGTGCATGGTGCCATGGGAATTTTGATTTAAGTGGCCTTAGGCCTTAAACACCCACATAGAGGTCTTTGGCGATCGATTTGAAAATGAAATCCATTAACAGTCGTTACCATTTGTAAATGTACTGCTTATGCACAGCGGACTCTTTTTGAGACATTTTTAATTAAAATTCATAATAATAAGGAACAGGAGGATAGGACATTTGGCTTCTCTTTCGCGAAATATAAAATGCTCCACTTATTTTTTACTGAATAATTTCTTCAAACTAGGAATCAGATCTTGTTTCTTGCAGTTTAAGTTTCCCCAAAAGAAGCTTTTAAGATCATTAGAGCCTTAGCCTTGGGGAGTGAATAAAAAGCTAAAGCACTCAACAGATAAATGTACTTGAAGCTTTCATGGTATTTACATCTTAATCACTTTTCTCGTGGCCATAAATCTGCCAATAAATCTTTATCAGCTCATTTAAAAATCATCTTGACTCTAACAACAATTTTAAGTGAAGAAAACAATTCTTTGATCATCTTCCATCAACCATTTCGTTCCCAACACTGACACCCTTTGATGGGTCAAACCCTTTTGGCTTGATCAAAAAAAAAAAACGAATACAAAATTTGCATAAATGGGTAATGGGTGCATTGGATTAGAGTGGTCTCGAAACTACACTTTGCTGGGCCTGAGTAAAACCACAATCCATTCCGATGTGAAATGCATTTGGCCAATGCGCGCAAGCAGTTGCTCATCCGTTAGCTAACGAGACCATTCCAAACACGATAACGATCAGTAGAAGAGCACATATCAAGCAGAAAGCTATGTCCGCTAGGGGATATACCCTCAGCCCTCACCCCTCCAAGACGTCCACTACAATGCTCAGTAGTTGCAGTTATTGCAAAGCCAATAAACAGTCGGTTATCTCTAGCGATCCAATGGGGGGACACACCTGTCGCGATCATCATTTGATCGACAGTGACTAACTTTTATGGGTCTTTATTTGTGTGTATGAGTGACAAGATCAACGTCAGTCTGCCATTTCCACGGTGTCCTTGTAGTGTTCGCGCTGCAAGCGGTTGCCGTAGGTGCGCGAGACCAGGTTCCAGGAGTCCATGTAGCGGTCCATGCACTGCGAAATGCAACGCTGCTCGCTGTTATCCAGCGCCTTGCCCGGCTTCTGGATGCACTTCTTGAAGCACTTCTCGGTCATCTTCGATAGCATCTCCTGGGCATTGGCCAATGCGATCTGTTGCTTCACTTGGCTCATCAGCTCCACCTTATTTTGGCCTGTGGCTGTGTCAGCCATCATTCGTTTAATATAATTCAAAATTTTTACTTTCCTTTTCCACAAATCAAAGGGATTTACAATTACAGATTCAAGCACAGAGTCTCAGGGCCAACTATGTTTGACAGCAAAAAGAAAAAAAGCCTAAAAAGCCTATTAATGTTTTTGTAAGAAAGTGATCCAAGCTGTACACTGCTTAAACCTGATCGTTTCACCTTCAAACTATCCTGCAAGCAGTTAATCCACTGTGCCTGAAACTCTAGTTCAAGCAGTGCTTCGCTGCCAGCTGATACTCTGGTTCAAGCAGTGCTTTGCTGTCAGCTGAAGGCTTGTTTCGTTTTCACTTGATATTAATCTACGGAAATCCCATTAATATGCAAGACCTGACAACAAATGAATTTACTTAGGGAAATTTGTACATATTTCGATCGTTTTTAGGCTTGTTGAAGCGCTTTCTCCCAAAATAAGGGTAGTCAATTGTAAAATAAAACCACAAAATGTATTACTGTTATTAGAAGACTACATGTATTTATGTATTATAATTTGGTATGTTCACATCTATATATTTTGTGCCGAAATTTGTCTATACATCGATTGAAAAATTGTATCTGTTATTTCGCAATTAATTAAACTTTGTTTTAATAAAATACACTAGACATCAGATCGGATCAGATCGCTTATGAATTAATATGCAGAGTTGTTAAAAAGTTTTGATTTCGTTAAAAATACGCAGGTAGATGTAGTTTTTTAAATTTCCATCGATATAAAAATATTATCCGTCGATATCAGTGTGTAAGATTCTTAAGCATATCCATATACATTTGTATGTATTTAACAATAATCGTTTTAATTTGTTAAGACACTTTTAGTACTTGGTCGACACGACGACAGTTTCCTATACAATATTCACTATTTATTTGCATGTAAATTTGTTGTAAGCTGTAAATGTCGAAGGATTACCTCAAGAAGCAGACACAGACAGAACTTATGTTTGGTCGTGCAGAAAAGCTAAAGAGAGTCTCTGGAGAGGGACTAGAGATGGAAAACTTGAAATTTCTTGGATTTTAGGGCTGTGTTTTCAAATATTAAGCAGTTAAAAAATTCACAGAGTTTGTCTTACTAATGCCCAGAATAATTTAATTTATTTATCTGTATAATACTGCAAGTACTCTGAACAAAGGAATCGACTACATGCTCCAGGAAAAGATAAAGTAATCCATTGAGTCCCGCTTACATTTGCCATGCTCTTCCTTCTCATTATCCCACATTGTTCTCTGCCATTGAAGAATACTTTCAGCAAGTTTGAACTTGAGTTTTGTAATCTCTTAAACGATGAACGAATGTTTTGTGGGGCATATAAAGACGAGTAAACACGAGTGTGAGGCACAATTTGGAAAACAAAATAAATAAATAACACAGAAACTAGCGGACTTTAGTTAAATTTGTATATATAATATATAAATGTTGGAATGTACAATCACTTCGAGTATGTGTGTGTGTGTGTGTGTGTGTGTAAGTATTATTGTGTTCAAAAGAAGACAAAAACGTGTAAAGTTATTATTGCTTTATTCCTAGGCCAGATTGTCGGTAAGCATGCAGTGTGTCCGTCCTTATGTTCCTATTCCCATTCTCATCCATTTCTCGGCACCGATCTCAAGCGATGCCAATCGCACAGCTCCTGCCGCAGATCGTGCTTGGACAGATCCAGCTCGAAGCCGCCAAGCAGTTCGTTTTCCTGCAGCGTATCGTGGGTCCAGATAGTGACCTGCAGTCGTCGCTCCTGAATAATATTGAGTGGCATGCGATACTCCAGCTGAATAAAGGGTAGAGAAAGGCTTTAATATACGTAGATCTCAGGAGACAGCGTAAACTTACCGTTTCCATGAAACTGGGAACACAGGTCTTGCGCACAACTTTGGTCTTGCGTTTGGTCTCCTTTTTGGGGTCCGGTTTTAGGTAGCATTTCACATAAGTGTTGGGCTCCTGACCGCCCTGCAGCATGGGCAGCCCTTTGGCGTGGTGTATCTGAAAGACAAGACTCTATAGAAGGTCCTGTGTTAAAGGTATTTACTTACCATCACAGTAAGTACGCCGCGACTATATTGCAGCGATAGTCTGATTTGACCAATCTCATTGGGGTTATCACGCGACGGCTTTCGCTTATCCTCTGCAGAATAGAATCAATATATAAATATCGAAGTATAAATCCTTCGATGTGCCAACTTACCCTTCATCTTGGGCATCTCCAGCTTGGCCTCCTGCTGATCGCGCAACAGCGGATGGAAGAAGGTGTACACCAGATCGGAGTGTGCAATTTCCTCGGCCGCATCGAACAGCGATTTCAGAAAGTTCTGTATCAGAGGTAAACGTTTCTCAGCCACAGACTTGATATTGGAGCGGCCCACATGCACGCCAGCTGGTAGACTGCAAAAGACAAACAAATTTAGAATGGAATTGTGATAAAAATACAAAACAAATGTTGAGGAACTAAAGCAAATCCACAACAGCAATCATTCTACTCCTAATTAATTACCAAACATTACAAGCTGCTCTAAGGTGTAGATCGTGCTGACAAATCAAAATAAATATATATAATCGAGTATATTGCCGATGGCTTATCAGTGAGTGGCGGTAGTACGAGTCGTTACACCGCTAATAGCCTGATAAATCGGTGACTGAGGCAAAACTGATTTCACTGCTGTGTCGTGTCGCTATCGGAGAGCACACCCGCTCAAAGTTAACAAAAAGAGAGAGAGAGAGAGAGTCGGTTTGGCGCTTGATATCGGCCCGAATCGCGCGAACCGATAAGCAACATTCGCAGCGACAGCAGCGGCGGGCAACGTCAGCGCTCAATCAGTTAACGAGCGAGCGGGAGCTCGTACGAACGGCACACCAAAAAAACACCAACGAAAAAAAAAACCAAAAACTGAAGAGCTGGAGCCCACGATAGCCGTCCGCTGTCGCGCTGGGTCGTTCGATTAGCGACGTGGTGAGCTTATGTACATCTGTAAGCGTTATTTATGTACAGAAACAGAAACAGAAACAGAGACAACAATTCGTGCAAAATTCGTGAAATCTGCTAAAATGCCAGCAGCCACAGAGACAGCGTAAGACAAAAGCCATGGCTCAGCTCGAGAATGCGGGCCAAGGTAAGTTCTATGCGAACATCTAATCGGGTAACTGATTCTATAAGCTCCATCCTGCTAACAGGTCAGCATGCCGTTATCGGGCCACTGCTCGCCTCCGCCATGCTGCTTGTGGGCCTGCTCTTCGCGCTGCTCGGCATTAAGCTCTGGGGCTTTCGGCGTCGCCTGACCTTCGATCGCAGCGGCGGTTCAACCAGATCATCGGGGACACAGCCACAACAGCCGCCGCCACGATACGCAGCCCAGGAGTCACAGGTATGCACAGAGCGGAGCTAAAGGTTAACTCACGATAGCAGCAGCAACAGAACTTCCGCTGATAAGCCACCAGCAAATAAGCGGCGACATTCATTCAATTGCAGGTGTAAACGCGAGGTACAGAGAAGGGCGCGTGAGTGGCAAGCAAATCGAGTCAACTTTCACTCAATCGAGTCGATAGAACCGTTGGCTTCATTATTTCAGGCACTCGCATTGGTATGCCTCTGCAAATGAGGCATTAAAGTGAATCAAAAGTGAAGGGAGAATAAATTCTTAGTTTTAAAAGGTTTCCAAATAGGCTTCTGTTTTATAGAAACATTTCCAAACAAAAGTCTGAGCGTGCCTCATTGCATTTGCTGGCCTGTGGGCATGTGTAATTGCAGTAACCCAACAGCTGAGTCCACAGCTGAGCTGCAGCTACACAAATACACACAAATACATTCCCCTGCCAATGCAATGCTCCAAAAACTAATACGATTCGCTTGCAGGTAAACGGCACAGACAATGCAGTCCACGGTGTGTTCCGGCAGCGCAATCTCGAGGAATTCGAAAGCTCATGGCCTTCAACGACGGCTTCAGCGGGTAAAGACTGTGACTCTGTTGGTTTTCACCCTACTAACTGCCATTCCATTCTTCCGCAGGCAACAGCTACTTGACGGGCAGTGTGCCGAACCTTCGCATGTACTCCCCAGTCACGCCTCGGGAGCGTAGCTTGGGAGAGGCCGGCGAGGTGTCGTATCGAGCACCACCACAAGCGCAGCGTCGTCACCGCAGGGAGGTGATCAGCGCCCACTCTGATAGCTATGCAGCGCCACCCACTCGCACGCCACCGCCTCCACCCACTCGCATGCCTCCTGCTCCACCCGCACAGACGCTGCCAGCAGCCAGCGACGGGATGCCAGCGAGAGATCTGGCAGTCGCTGTGGTTCCTGAGCTGCCCAGCGAACTGGGAATGCCCAACTTTGATCACTTTGCAGAGAAATACGCGCTCATAAGCGTACAGCCAACGCCAGAGTCGGCCAAGACAACGCAGCTGAGGAGCAAGGACAGTGGGCGGTATGTCAAGTTCGAGCCGGTCGATGATGTGCCAGAGCTGCTGACACCAGACGATGACCCAGGCGGCAACTCCTCTCTCTCTGTGACGGCTGTGGTGCACCGCGAAGCCCCGTCCAACGACGAGCAGGAGTCTGAAGTGGCTTCTAATAGTCAGGGAGCCGGCGATCAGTCCGCGGACTCGGCATTCGTTGTGGCAGTCATAGCAGGCAGTCCGGAGGTGACAACCCCACCGCAGGCACCGCCTTCGCGTAATCTTTTCGACGATTTGGAGCTGCCAAATGGCGAACAGGATCCGGAATTTGTGCGCATTCGTTCCTCGTTTGTGATGAACGAGGCAGACATCTTGGACTTGGATCCACGACAGCTGCCTGCAGCTGGCAGTCCGCCTGGCTTTGGCAAGAGCATCGACGAGGACTGGGAGAACTGGGAGAACCTAGATGCCGTCGCTGCAGTGCCCGAGCCCAACTGGGCGTTGCATCCCAGTGCCCTGGAGCAACTGCCGCCAGTGGAGACCACACTCAGCGAGGCCACTCTGGAGCTGGACAACGTGGAGCAGCTGCCTGGAGTAGAGACTACTCTGAGTGAAGCCACTC